TGCTGCACCTGTCAGGCAAGAGCAAGTCCTGAGTTTGATTCCTAGTACCAAAAAACAAAACAAAACAAAACAAAACAAAACTGAAAACCTTCATGTTTTAAAAGTCATTATCAAAAAAGTAAAAGTAGGGCTGGAGATTTAGGTCATTAGCGATGTGCCTGCCTCACACGCACAAAGTCCCGAGTTTGATCCTGGTACAAAAAAACCAAAAAACATCAAAAAACGAAAGTAAGAGTAGAACCTACAAAAAGAAAAAAAATATTGAAAAATCATGTATCTGATAAGGGTCTTACATTCAGAATTTATGAAGGAGTCATACAAACCAAAATCAAAAACAAAACAAAATCCATTTTTAAAACAGACAAAAGACTTGAACAGACATTTCAAAGATGTTCCACAAATGGCAGTGAGCACAAGAGAAGACACAAGGACCCAGCAGGTTGTTTTCACCCATATTCACAGCAGCAATATTCACAATAGCCAAAAGGTAGAAATAATTAAAGTGTCTCAATAGATAGAAAAAATATGATTATATTGAGATATTTGCATTCTTTTTAGAAATATAAAATGGTGAAAGCGCGGGCCATTAAGGAAAATAATTTGGCAATTCCTTAAAAAGACAGAATTGGACCAGGGATTTAGCTCAGTGATTCTGCCACCTGCCTCACAAGAGCAAGGTCACAAGTTCAATCCCCAGTACCAAAAAAAAAAAAATTACCACATGACTCAGAAATTCCATCATAGGCATATACACAAAAGAATTGATCAAATGTATTCAAATACTAGCATGGTAATATTTACAGCAGCACTATTCACAATTCCCAAAAAAGTTAAAAAAAAAACTAAACATTCATGAATGAGTAGATAATAGTGGTATAAAAAAACAAAGGATATTAGTCAGTAATAAAAATATACTAATACATGCTATAATGAGAACATCCAAATGTTATACTGAGAGAAGTCAGTCACAATATATTGTACAATTACACTTACATAAAATATCCAGCTAAATGGATGCACATCAAGGCTATAGTCTTAAGTGAAATAAATAGGACACACTATGTAAATACCAAATTGTTTCTCTGGTGTGAGAAACTGAGCGTATAAATTAGGACCAAAATGTATAACAGATAATGTGAAATAGGAAGAAAAGGTCCAAAAGGGAAGGGGAAGTGGAAGGGAGGGATATGAGAAAAGGAGAAAATGGAAACAAAGTTTTTTGTAAATAAGGAGGGGTGGAGAGGTGGAAGGGAAATGGAGAAAAAAGAAGAACCAAGATATATCATGTACAGGTAAAAATTCCCAATGATGAAAGTGATCATTATGTATACCTAAAATGTACCAATAAATTTAAAGAAAGATATTTTATATTTTTGTGTATTATATATTTTAAAGTATAAAATATCTAGGATGAGTAAATTCTTTTTTTTAATCTTATTGAGTTTATTGGTACATTTAAGATATACAGTACAGTGGCATTCATCATTGGGATCTTGTATCATTACATGAAAAATCTTGGTTCTAATTTTTTCCCCATACCCGTACCCTCCTTCACCCCCTCTACCCTCCCCTATTTACAAATACTTTGTTTTCATTTTTTCCTTTTCTCATATTTTGTCCTTTATTTCCTTTCCCCTACTCTTCCCACTTTCCCTACACCTTTAGCCCTTTTCTCCCTATTTCACATTATCAGTTATACAATTTGTATACAGTTATACAATTTACACTTTTATTTTTTCATACCAGATAAACTATTCGGTATTTACATGTGTGTCTTATTTATTTCACTAAAGAGTATGGCCTCAGTATGCATCCACTTTCCTATGAATGACTCTCGTTTCTCACTCTTTATGGCTGAGTACTATTCCATTTTATAGAAAAATCACATCTTCTTTATCCAGTCTCCAACTGATGGACATTTGGGCTGTTTCCAAGTTTTAGCTGTTACAAACTGTGCCACCATAAACATACGTGTACATATATCATTGTGATATGATTCTTTTAATTCTTTTGGAAAGATACCCAGCAGAGGAATAGCTGGGTCAAATGGAACCTCTAATCCTAGCTCTTTGCCGTATCTCCATATTGATTTCCATAGTGGTTGCACCAGTCTGCACTTCCCCAGCAATGGAGAAAGCATTCCTTTCTCCCCACATAGGATGAGTAAATTCTTTTTTATTTTCCTGATTGAGTTAATTGGTACATTTTAGGTATATAGTACAGTTACATTCATTGTTGGGATCTTGTACCTTCATATGACAGGTCTTGGTCCTCATTTTTCCCCCTTGTCCCTGCCCTCCCTTCACCCCTTTCTCCCCTCCCCATTTACAAACATTTTATTTCCTTTATTTACATTTTTTTCATTTTCTCCAATTTTTTGCTTTCCATTATTACCTTTCCTCTACCCTTCCCACTTTCCCTGAATCTTTAGCCCTTTTCTTCCTATTTCACATTGACAATTATCTCATTAGGATCTTATGTAGGATGAGTAAATTCTTAAAGACAGATAGTAGATTAGTAATTCCCATGGGCTGGGGTGACTGCTTACTGAGTATATAGTTCCCTTTTGCTGTGATATAAATGAAGTCAATAAAAGTGATCACCACATAATATTGTAAATATATTAAATGCCACTGGACTATATACTTGAAAAAGTTAAATTCATGTATGGATTTCATCTTAACTTAAAAAAAGTAATAGTCTAGAATTGGGACTATGGTTAGAAGGATTATTATAAATATTAACAGAAATATACTAAATAAATTACAGAACAAAAATTTAATAGACTCATATGTAATCAATTCATAAATAAATTGAAAAGTATACATGGAATCATTTTCCTAGAAGTAAAATACACACAATTATACATTAAATGAAACAGATTGTAGAGACATAAATTATAATGTGAATGAAAACATCTGAGTTATTTTTTCTTAAAACTGTGGGAGTTATTTATTAAGATAAAAAATTATCTAACTAAAATACATTTTAAAATAAGAATCAAGATATATCATTCCTTATGATGAATGTGATCATTATATATACCTAAAATGTAATGATAAACTTAATTAATTTTAAATACATAAATAAAATAAAATAAAAATTTCCTCCAGTTAAATTATTGGCTCAGTAGTTTAAAAAAATGTTACAAAATCCTTGGTCATTTTACTAACTAAACACAAAATAATAAAATACAATGACTCTAGTGAGTAGGCTCCACATTTTGTGAATTCTACTGTACCCACACTGATTTTACTTTGTTTATTCACTGGGCACAGCCCTAAGCTGTGAATTTTAGCTAAGATCTAATTCATCATCCCTGTCCATATATCTTTTTGGGGGGAGTACTGGGGATCGAACTCAGGTCCTTGTGCTTACTAGACAGGCAGAAGAACCACTGAGCCAAATCCCTGGCCCATCCCTGTCCATATTAATGGAACTTCTGCAATGAGTGAAGAGCATTCAATGAGAGATTCAGATTTTTTTCTTCGTTAACAGCTGTATGATCTTAGGTATTTCACTTAATTTCTTTGTGCACTTGTTCTCATATGTAAAACAGAGAAAAAAGTAACATTAGCCACAGAGTTGTAAGTTAATATGAAGTAATGAATTTAAAGTATAGTGCCTAAAACATAGAAAATGATAAGTATCAGCCAATTTATGTACACTGGAACTCCAAGTGAGTCAGAGCATTCCGTACCACAAACTTCCTCTCACCTGTCCTCAGTCAGCAGGAAAACTACTATTGCCTGAGCAAATTTAACTCAAAGACTGATCAGCTTGTTGTTACCCTGTCGTCAAGCCTGAGTGCACATTACAGCTAGCCGGAGAACCTCAAAAGAACAAATGCCCAAGATTCAACCTATAATCTCAACTCAGAGAGTGATTTAATTGTTTTAGGGAGTGGCCCAGGCATCCATATTTTTAAAAGTTTGTATTAAAAATGTATCAAGATCAGGCCCAATCTACTCTCTTTTTAAAATTCCTTTCCATTGCCAACGGCTGTAGTTTTTCCTGAGGATTCTATATAGGCAATCTCCATGAAAAGAAAGAAGACAAAACAAATTGAAATGGCAAGGTCCATCCTAGAGTTAAAAAAAGGATTATGATAAAATTCCACTTTAAATGGAAATTGAAAAGGTCAAATATTCTTTAAAAGTAGAAGAATCAGTAGTATAGAGAAGACAGAGGAAAGTGGAGTTCAGTGAATAAAAATGTGACAATTATACTAGCACTTATAGTGCTCTCTGCATGTGCTCCAAATCCTAAGGCAATATTACAGATGATTTCATTTGATCTTTACAACAACTGAATGAAGTACTATCGTGTCTTTTACATATGAGGAAAATGAAGCACGAAGAAGTTAATTACTAAAGGTCATACATTTAAACAATGATTTGAAATTTTAGCTCAAAATTAATCCCAATCCCTCCCCCTGCCTTTTCTTAGACAGGGTGAAGTTCAGGCTGGCCTTGAACTCACTATGTAGCCCAAGATGGCCTCAAACTCATGCGATTCTCCTGCCTCAGCCTCCTGAGTGCTGGGATTCCAAACCCATTTTCTTAAAAACTGTGATATACTGTCATTCTGTATAAAAATATACATTTATATGAGATATATTCTCTTAATCTTTATTTCCCATTTCAAAGATCAATAGAATTACCTATTGTTACAAAACAAACTATCAGCAGTGATTATTTTTGAACAGTGACTAATTTTATTTGAACATATTTGATGAATTTCCTATAATACATACATATTTATTTTTAATTTTAAAAGTAATATTTTTAAAGCAGGCATATGACAGACTTTTTACTCTATATAGTCTCTAAGAAATTTATATTACTTTCTACAAATACTGAAACTGAAAAAAATTTTTCTTTAATAATACACATTCTCCACAAAAGGTGCCTCTTTCTAAATTTTCTTTCAATATATTCAATATATTTTCTTCCAGTATATTTAGTAAAAATATATTGAAGCAAAAGAGAAATACTTACCTGTACACTGTCCTCCATTGGTTGGATCTCCATAATAACCTGGCATGCAGTCTTGACACTGTTTACCCGTGGTGAGGTTTTTACATTGTTCACATATGTTATTATTGATGCAAATGCTATGTCCATTACACTGGCAAGCTAAAGAAAACAGTAAAAACCATTACAAATATCTACATAGCAACAGCAAGCAATAATAGCTATAAGAATTTATTATAAAAATCTAGATCCTAGCAAAGTCCAAAGAGCCCTTCTCAAGTTTTTAATGCATGACATATTTATCTCAAACTACTACTGCAAGACAGCATGTATATATAATAAATTGGGTGCTAAAATTTTACCTTATCCTCTATAATAGCAGAGGATAAAAATAATATGAAATGTAAAAAATTATAGCTAGTCAGGGAAATATTTTTTAAAGATTCATATGAATGGTACGGCTATTAAGTTACATAAAAACTAAATAACATGGCTTGGATAAGGAATGTTAAATGTGTCAAAATATATTTGCACTTAATAACAATCAATAAATTGAGAAAATAATGTGGCAATAAGTCTTTACTTAAGATAAGTTAGCTAGATGCAGTGGATCATGCCAGTAATCCCGGGACACTGAGAGAAAGGAACACTGCAAGTTCAGTCTCTACCTGGACAGCTTTAAAACTTAGCAAGACCCTTATCTCAACGTATAAAATAAAACAGAGCGGGAGATGTAGCTCAGTGTGAAGGTCCCAGGTTCAATCCCCATTATTGCTTTAAATAAATAAATACATAAATAATAGAATGAATAAAAATAGAACTTTTAATTTGTATAAATGTATTCAGTATCTTCTTTAGACAAGAAAATTTTGAAGTTTAACTGAAATTCTATTTTAATTTGAAGTAAAAAGAATCAGATTTAAAGTACTGTGAAGCCTTAACTTGAGAACTCAATTCATTTGGGAGGGCTGGTTGTAATTTAAGTTAGCTAATCGATGGCTAAGGCTCCTTTACACAGCCTTCAAAGTCACTCTCTTGTACACAGGCAGATCTCAGTGTCCTTAGAGATATTGGCCTAGGATTTTTCTCAATTAACCCCGTAGGAAAGATTGTTGCAATGTTTCCTTCTTCTTTACAGGTTAAAGTTGTATCTGAGACCATCTGGAAGCACAAGCACCCAGCATTCAGTTCATAACTCAATACTTTGGTTGTAAGTTAAAACTAAAATTCCGGTCATAACCCAAGTTAAAATTAAAATTCCGGTCATAACCCAAGTTGCATGTATGTTAAGTCAGTTGTAACTTCAGGGCCCACTTATATAAGTTATTTTTTATATCTTAAAAATCAGACTTTTAATATATTTTGATATTAACATTACAGAAGTATCAGAAATTTCAGACCAGCTATAAAGTTCATATATGAAGACACATGCTTTCAATGCCTATGTGAAGCACTGACTAGTTCAGTGACTGCTTGCCTAGATAGACAACATCCTCCTTATCACCCTTATAAGCATCATCATTATTATTAGAATTAAAATAGAAGCTAGCATCTCACTGAGCTTTCTCTCGCTATGCAATATGGGAAAGCCAATATTTAGCCAATGTCAGTTTGCAATTGATATCTATTCTCATGGGTCAGAGTACATTTTGCATCAATTTTTACAGATTGCAAATACAGGCCCAGATGGAGTAGCAAGTATTACATATAAATTATTTGATACCAAGAACAATGCTGTGGGAAAACTACTATTTTAAGTATCATTTCTAAGATGACGAAGCCTAGGTTAAGTAATTGCCCAACGTCCACAGCTAATCAGTGAAAGAAACAAATATGTAAGTGGGAATTCTGAGCCAGAAAATAAGACATTAAAAGCCATATACAAATGCCATTTGTATGCAGTAGATTTGAAAATGAGATGAATTTGGCAAGAGACTATCATAGGGCTGTCAACATGAATTAACTTCAAGGAATAAAGAAACACATGCAAAAAGATTAAAACCAAATAACTGTACTTTACAGAGGTATTCAGAAATATAATTCTATCTAAAGACTACAGAAATGATGAGATCACCATTGAAATGTGTTAGATAACCATCATTCTTTATGAAATGAAAAAAATTTTAATGTAGTTACAAATAGAAAATTTAATTACAAGGGAAAGGTTCAGAATAAGCTAAAACAAGGATACAAAGCATATTTTAAATAATGACAATTTTGTTTTGAAATAGAAATACACCTTTCAAAAAGTTAATGATAGTATCTTAGTCTACTAAGATCAAATTCCAACAGCAGATTCATATTATCTTTATAAGAAATAACACTGTTATTAAATTTTTAATCTTTAAGTATTATGCTTAATAAGTTAAGATACTGTTTCACAGAAAATTTATTATGTGGTATCACTAATTAATTCACTCAGCTGAAAAAAAAAAGTTTTATTGAGTGCCCAGTACATACAAAACATTATTGAAGATATAAACTAAGAAGTGGGTTTCTCCATGTACAGTACTTCATGAAATTTCTGGCCACATGAAGGATTCATTGGAGGGAGGATGCATTAAATTTTGAATAAGAGGGCTGAATTCAGCTCTCACAACTAAAATCCTTCTTATAGATTAACACTGAAATAAGGAAATTTGCCAGCAACAACAAAAATATAGGCACGGTATAGCTCACAAAAAAACTAGACAGTAGCAATCTATATTATCCCTTAAAATTAAAAGAAGACACGTGGTAGGGCCAGGGATTTGGCTCAGTGGTTCCGCTGCCTGCCATGCAAGTGCAAGGACCCAAGTTCTATCCCCGGTACAAAAAAAACACAAAAAAACAACAAAAAAAAAAACAACAACAACAAAAAAAGAAGACACATGGTATTATTATACTCAAACTTCCCTTCCTGAATAAGGGAGATTTACAAAGACAAGGATAGCCACAGGATAGCTAAGAAGCACATCATTTAGTTATATATCAATACAGCTAGTGGAAAGTGTGATCCAAGGGCAACCAATACAGTGGATATATCAAGCAGAAAGTTGGTATAATTTAGATCTAACTGCAGGAAAAGAAAAGGACTGATCATCGTCATAGTCTATAACTAGTATAGTATCAATGGCAAAGGAGAAAGAATGTTATAAAAAGCTGTATTCATACATAATAGCAATATCAAACATAAACAAGGACAAGATAGGCTATGATTATTTTATTCTTCTTTGCTATAAGATTGTTTACCAATCATCTGTAAGTTTACATCTAATAATTTTCCAGGACACACTGCTACTGTAATCTAACTAAAGAATATTTTTAAAAAAGAAAAGCTATTTATTCTATGTAGTTTAAATTTTAAAACCACCCCCAGATGGCTTCTCATTTATGGATACACAAACGGAAAAAAACGAAATATAGTGGCATTTTTTGGGGGGGTACCAGGGATTAAACTCAGGACCTTGTGCTTTCAAGGCAGGTGAGGCGCCACTGAGCCAAATCCCTGGTCCAATGACATACCTTAAAATTAAAATGACAAATCTAGCATCTGGTATGCAAAAAAGGAACATAACTTTTGAAATATGTCCATTCTAAAGTAGATGTGCAACATTTAAAAGTATCTTCTTTATAAAGATTTTGTTTCTGTTTTATCCTTATCTTGTATTTATTCCTTTCCCTTCTTTCCTTCCCCCTACCCTTCCTACTTCCCCTTCCCCTTTGGATCTTTTCTTTCTATTTTACATTATCTATTATACATTTTGATCCGTATTTATACTTTCAGTTTCTCAACACCAGAGAAACTTCAGTATTTACATATTTATTTCGCTTAAGAGTATCGCCTCAATGTGCATCAATTAGCGATAAATGTCTCTAGTTTTTCATTGTTTAGGGAGGGGTGGAGGGGTAGAAGGGAGGGCAGGGGAAATGAGAAAAAATATATGATGTAAATTTCCAATGATGAATGTCATCATATTGTAGACCTAAAATGTATCAATAAACAATGAAAAAAATTAAAAATAAAAATAATTATATTTTTACAATCTCAATAAATTTCAAAAACACATACATAGAATTTCAATGAAAAACTTTACCCAAAATATTTTCAATATATACCCTATCTTAAAGGAAAAGAGAATTATCAGGTACTAACATGAAGCAGAGATTCAAAACAAGAATGATAAAGATTTCAGTAAGCAGCAAAATTTTACTATTTATGGGATAAACGCACTCGCAAGCATAGATTTCACAATCTAACAAGGGTACAAGATAAAATTGCTGGCATTCTTAAGAAAAGGTGGTAAATTAAACCATGTTCATAAAGTGAATCCATCAACTGCAATAATTATCTGTGAAAAAGGCACTAAAACAGGTCATAAACACAAGGAGAAAACAACCAAAATGCATTGGTATATGTGTATGAGAAGAAGGTACATGTAAGAACTTAAAGCCTCTGCCAGGTATTATGTGTTGGACTGAAATTCACATTGTCCACATAGTAGAGAAACTCCAAATATCAAACATTAATATAAACCCTTCCCTGCTGGAAGAAAATTATTACAGACTTACAAAAACAGATGCACATTGCCCCTTGAGATACTGGCACAACTGAAGTCACATAAATGTAATGCAAAACAGAGACTAGGGATTTGCTTTTACTGAAAAGAACTAGATGCTAAATATTTAGGCTCTGCAATCCATATAGTCTTTGTCATAGCTACTCCTTTCTGCCACTTGAATACAATATGCAAGTGAGCACAGCTATATTAAATAGAACTTTCTTTAAACAATTAGACAGTAGACCAGATTTGGCTTCCAGGAATTGGTTTGGCAACCTGACATGGAAGAAAAAACATTGAATTAATTAAATCTCACAATGAAAAATTACAACAAACCACAAGGAAGAGTCAGGAAAAATGAAAGAATAAAAATAAGAAATAACACCCAATCACTTAAGTAAAGGAATAAATAGAAGATAATAAAAATACTCAAAGATAGAAAATACTTTAAGCAAATTTAAAGAAGGAAGGTATAATGACATCTCACCAAATAAAGCATATAAACAGACATATAAAAATCATTTAAAAATAAAAGAAAGTTAAAATACAAAAATAGTAAAAGAGTACAATACCAAAAATAAAAAAAATAATAAAAGAGACAGATTCAGCAATAGAATTGAA